TCATCCTAGGTGCCCTTCAACAGATGAAGGGATAAAGAAAATGTGGTATATACACACAATGGAATATTACTCAGCCTTAAAGAAGAATAAAATCACAGCATTTGCAGGTAAATGGATGGAGCTGGAGAATATCATGCTAAGTGAAATAAGCCAATCTCAAACAACCACAGGCCAAATATTTTCTCTGGTATATGAATGCTAATTCACAATAAGAGGAGGTAGCTAGGGAAGAATAGAGTTACTTTAGATTAGGTAGAGGGGAGTGAAAGGAGAGGAGTGGGGACAGGGGTAGCAAGGATAGTAGAATGAATCAGACATTATTAGTCTATGTACATATATGACTACACGATTTGTGTAATTCTACATCATGTATACTCAGAAGAATGAGAAATTATACTCCATTTATGTGTAATGTATCAAAGTGCATTCTATGTCATTTAGAACTAATTAGAACAATAAGAATATAATACATTGATCCTGTATCTTTTGGACAATGGAGAGCTATGAATTACTCCCACCGTTGTGGGCTAGAGACACATTGAATCTAGGCATGAACCAGTTCTCCCACCACTTCTGGGGCATAAGACAACTATGGCTCTACCTAAAGCCATGGTGATTCCTTGAAGTTACTTTAAACTCACGTTTTGACTAGAAATGGGATGACTTAGTAATGGATGGATCTCATGCCCCTTCAATGAACTTTAAAAATAAACCAACCCCCAAGTCACGTTAACAATGTAAGTTTATAATAGACATAGCACAGATAAACTCCTTATTTTTCGTTATGCAATGTTTGTTTGAAAAAAATCAATGTGTAATAGTGGGAATGGAAAAAAGAAAGAAAAGAAGAAGGAGAAAATAAAGGAAGGAGGGAGGGAGGGAAGCTAAAAGAAACTAGAGAAAAGACATTTCTGAGGGACCGCACAGCAACCAGGACCTCAATATCCTCCTCCTGTGAGTTCTGCACACCCATGGTCCATGGAAACACAGCCTCCTTTCTATCCCTGAGTTTACAGAGATGTTATGGTGTGTGATAATTGATATTTGTATAGTACTTTACGATTTTGATTTTTAAAGGCATTTTCATATTATATGCTCCTCGTGGAAATCCTGTGATAGGCAGAGTAAAGATTTTGATCCCTGCTTTAAATGTGAATCAGAGTCTCAGAAAGACCTTCTGTCTCTTTATCCTTCTCCCTCCCTCCCTCCCTCCCTCTCTCTCCTTCCCCCCTCCACCACACACATGCACACACATACATTAAACTGGCACGTACAGAAGGACCAAGACTCAAATCATTAGACTCTGACTCTGACTCTAGATTGACTCCCCTTACTATTCCATCCAGACAAGTTTTTTGTTGTTGTTGTTTTGAAGCATTATTTTTGCTATCAGTCATTTATTTATACTTGGACAAATATGTATAAGGAGGTACAAGGTTCCAATGGATAAAGTCATTGCTCCATATGCAATAAGTCAGAAGTTAATAAATGTTCTGATGCAAAGGGGAAAAAAAAAGCCAGATAAGGGGGACAACGAGAGCAGAGGTCTATGGGAAGATCATTTTATATATTTAGAAATAGTTTAAATGTGGGTAGAACACAATCCCTTTAGTTGGGGAGAGGGTAGAGAAATTTCATTTTCAAGAACAACTTGTGTAATGAAAGAAACTCACACAGGCAAGGTGGGGTATGGTCCTCCCATCCCTGCAAAAGGGGGGTGTATTCAGAGTGGACCACAGAATTCCAAAGAGATCCTAATTCAGAAAGACCTGTTGCCTCTCTTTGCCTCATTTCTCAAACCTGAAAGAGTACATCAAAGATAAGGAATATCCCTGGAAACTCAGGCTATGTCTAGACAGAGCTTTACAGAGAGAAATAAATTGTACACAGTAGAAGTGCTTGTCATAAGAACAGCAGGCATGGGATTCTAGAACACACCCAGGTTTGCATTACCACCATGGCGCCATGCATCATCTGTCACTTTGCAGAGGAAGACAGGCATCAAGGGGGTGACAGATTATGGGCCTGGTGAAAGCCCTCCAGCTGACCAACATCATCACCCTCAGCCAGCTCTCAGCCATCCGTCAGTGTTGAGAAGCAGGCACCTTGGAGCCTATGTGGCGGCTTGTTCAGAATGCCTCCCGGGTTCATCCCGAGCAAGGCATGCTGAAGTCTTCATATGCCCAACAGAGAAGTAGAGAGGCTGCTGACAACCAGAGCCTATGGCACACAGATGTAAGAGATTACATAATCTGGAAGTTAAAAAAAAAAAAGGAAAGGAAAAGATATCTCTTTAAAAAGTACTCAACACATATTTACAAACAGTCCACTAAGCCCCAAAGCACCTACTATGCATTGCATCATCATCATCTAGATATTTATCACAGGCCTTCTCTACCTTATGACCCTTTAATGTTGCATATGGCTTCTAAGTTTGTATTCACCAAAGCATTTTATCTTTTAAAACAGAAAAGGAAAATATGTTGTGTGCTCCTGTTGATAGTGATCGATCAATCAGGCCTACCTGGAGTACCAGCTGGAAGAGCATCCAGATGCATTGGGCTCTTTGGAAACCACCGCCATGATTGATTAGCAGTGTCTGCCATAGCCTCAGGAAAGAAAGGCTTCAGAACCAGCCTTGTGATTTAGAAGTGTGTTAGAGGAACGGCAACGAAACTGGGGATTCTCACATAGCTTCTAAAGGACTCAAAAACATAGTGGTAATCGTTCCATTTTGAATATGAAATCCAGTTTAGGATTCACAAATAAAGTCAAGATTAAACATCATACATTTGAGACATGAAAATAGTAACTCATCGGGTCATTTTGGTCAAACAGTCTTGGGTTCACATTCTGTGCCTGTACCTTCCTCTGGGTAACTTATTTACTGTCCACACTACTCAATTTACTCTTGTGCTGATAATAATGAAAATACGTACCCGTACTGATGTGAAGATGAAACGAGGCCATGACTACAAGTGAAATGTACAGACAGCACCTGGCAGAAGGTAGGAGGCCTAATAAATGGTAGCTATTACTACACTTAATCATAATTTAAGGCAAAACAAATCATTTTCTTTCTGATGCTTTTAAAACACTGTTGAAAACTCTGCTGTGGAATTATTGCACTACATCGTGGTTTGGGGTTTTTTTTTGTTGTTTGTTTTGTTTTGTTTTTTGTTACTTGTCTTTCTTTTACTGTGAGCTTTATGGGATCAGGAATCATGGCTTGTTCATCATCGATCCTTGGGATATAATTCAGTGTCCAGCAGAGAGTAAGCAGCAAAGAGTGTTGGCCTATGAAAGGAAACAGCAACTGAAATGGGTAAACTATTATTTGCAAATGCATGTTCCTCATTTGCTAGAAAGTTTAATTGGAAAGTATAGCTCGGATACTGAAAGAATTCTTTATTAAGTTTCTTGTTTTTATTTGAGGCTATTCTAGCTGTGGCTGGGTAATGGAATAATCCTGCCACAGAGGAAAAAGTTAAAGCAGAGACAGATGTTTCAGGGATCCTGTTCCTATATTCCACTTATTGTCACACTGACCTATAAGTTACATTCTAGTTATGATGACCGTATGCCCCTTACTTCCTTTGTCAAGCCTAACTTCCAATACTTTGTTGCAACATTGTATAAGTAAATATATACTTGTCACATCTTAAGTTTCAGTCTTAAATTCTGAGTACCTGGTCATTGTAGCCATTTGCAAAGACCAGAGTCTAGGCCACTTCTCTCCCATCTGAAGCAGACCATATTCTGCCTGAAAGTGTTGAGTCATGGATCTTAGATATATGTATAATTTCTATATTTCATGCTGAGAAAGACATTTCTTTCTTCTTTTGTAAAATCCCTATTTGCTTCATTCGTTTTTAGATTTTCATTGTTTGTCTGAGTCATCTCCTGCATCTTCTTGTTACTATAATCTCTTTATTTTTTAGTTATCTTGGGTTATTTATTTATTTTTTTATAATTTCATTTTTTATTTTTTCAATGTTAGTGTGCAAAAATACAACTGATTTCTTTTTTTTAGATTTTTTTCTTTTTTTTATTGATTGTTCAAAATATTACAAAGCTCATGACATATCATCTTTCATACATTTGATTCAAGTGAGTTATGAACTCCCGTTTTTACCCCAAATACAAATTGCAGAATCACATCAGTTACACATTCATAATTTTTACATAATGCCATATTAGTGACTGTTGTATTCTGCTGCCTTTCCTATCCCATACTGTCTACTGTCCCCCCTCCCTTTCCCTCCCATCTTCCCTCTCTACCTCATCTGCTGTTGGTCAGTTCTCTCCCTTGTCCCCCCCCCCACTTTCCCCTCACAACCTCTTATATGTAATTTTGTGTTACATTGAGGGTCTCCTACCATTTCCATATGCTTTCCCTTCTCTCTCCCTTTCTCTCCCCCCACTCGTCTTCCCTGAGGATCTTAAAAGAGCGTACTATAGGGATACTGCCACATCAATGATTATAGGGGCACAATTCACAATAGCTAGACTGTGGAACCAACCTAGATGCTCTTCAATAGATGAATGAATAAAAAAAAAATGTGGCATCTATACACAATGGAGTATTACGCAGCACTAAAAAATGACAAAATCGTAGAATTTGCAGGGAAATGGATAGCATTAGAACAGATTATGCTAAGCGAAGCTAGCCAATCCTTAAAAAACGAATGCCAAATGTCTTCTTTAATATAAAGAGAGCAACTAAGAACAGAACAGGGAGGAAGAACATGTGGAAAAGATTAACATCTTGGGTTATTTAAATGGTCATTTAGTTGACTCTTCCAGTTCCCTGATGTCTCCATTCCTTATCTCCTTGTCTCCTGTGTCTCCCTTTCCTCTTCTCTGCTAGTCTTCAGTTCTCATGCATTATCTCTTAGACCTTGCTCATTCCCCTCCATTTCTTGATAATGAAATTCAGATAACCACATTTGTCCTGTCTTCTTTCATTCAGATATAGTTTGGTTTGTATATGATTTGTCCCCTCCAAAAACTCAGGTGGAAGTTTAATCTCTATCATGAGTAATTAAGGGTATGGAAATTTAATTTAGCTATAGTGCTTGGAGGTACAGCCTTTGGGAGATGATTAAGCTAAAATGAAGTCTTTGGGATGGAACGGCCCAGATGGAATCCCAGGGGTCACATGAGAGCAAGAGAGACCAGGGCTACACACACGGGTATGCTCCACATCTCTTGGCATGTGACACCCTATGCTACCTTGGAACTCTGCCAGCAAGAGGGCCATCACCTACTGCAAGCCCTCAACACTGGACCAGAACAGAGGGCCACAAAAAACCTTTGTTCTATTAGCAACAGGAAGCAAATGAAGACAAAGTTCTTCCAATTATTCCCACAAGTAATTTTCTTTTTATCTCTCTCTCTTTTTTAAAAATTTATGAGAATGTGCAGTTCTTTGACCTCTCCTCACTGTGCAAGTCTCTTTTCTTCCCTGTGCTTCCTATTTTGCTAAGAGTCCAAAGCACAGCAATTCCCATGCTTTTACCAATTTCCTAAGCTCCCTGTTCCCAGTGACTTTCGATCATGGAAGTCCGGCCATGGTTCTTCTGGATGCCATCCGCTGCCTTGCAGGTTCACCTCTGAACACAGGCAAATGCATGCTGCTGGAGAAAATTCCATGACTGAACACATAAGCATTTGTAGATGTATGGTCACCAATAACTGCTGACACATGACGACCCGCTCTTCCCGTCCCCCACAGCCTTATTTCGAAGCCTCCCACCCTCCCCAAGTTTCCTCCTCCCTCTCATCCAGCAGACATCTTCAGCTGCTGTGGCACAGAAAAAAGACATAATTCCAGAAGAAACATTAAACTTCTCACCTCAACTCCTGTGCCAACACCTACTTTTCCTCCTTTATTCCTATGATAAAGGGAAGAGTTAGAGGCAATAAATTCAGCTGCATTTCTAGATCCTGTCAATTCTGATAACCCGGGGGATTTTACTCCTTTAGTTTTCCTTTCTCCTCTGTGATCCATGCCTGGAGCATTACTAGATCCTTCTCACAACCACAGAACCTGCACTGACTCCTCCCACGCTCCTCTTCAGGTCCATCCACTGCTTCTTATGTTGCTAATTGGCTCTTCTCTTTTATGTAAATCTTACCATAAGGTAGGAGGTAGGAGGCTTAATAAATGGTAGCTATTACTACACTTAATCATCATTTAAAGCAAAATAAAAGGAATTGTCAGCAATTGTGGTTGTTTTGTCCCCCCTCCCACTCACCTGTTGAGCAATTATATTTTACTGAGACCATCCACGACCAACGTGTGGGGGAAGCCTGATGCTCACAGTCCTACGCTGTTTGCTCCACAGGGCCAGTGCTCTGTATTTCCATATAGAAATACTCCTTTCCCTTCTCTTCAGCACTGCAAGATTTTGCTGGGTTTCCTTTCATGGCTCTGAGCATTCCTAAGGCTGTCTCTTTTGTGAGATCCTCTTCCTCTAACCAGTCTTCATATATCGTTGTTCTTTAATGTTTTAATCCTGGTCCTCCAAGAAGCAGATGGATGAGAATAAACATTTCAAAAATACATTTATTTTCAAAATTTTAAAAATAGGGTAGCAGGCTACCAAAAAAAATTAAGGAGGGAGCCAAGGGACAGAAAACCAAGTCTAACTTTGAGTGATCGGAAGAGGAAAGATAAAAAGAAAGGCAGTGGGGGAGGAAGAAAGACTGAGCAGAAGGGTTTAGGACTGTGGTATGCTTATAAGGAAGCTTGATAAAAGCATTGAAGGGTCCACAGGTCAAAATCTTCTCTTAGAAGATTCCCACATCACCCAGAAATGGACATGCTTACGTGACCCTGCTGTCACTCATTGCCTGGATGCAGCCCAAGGGATCTGTGGCTTTGTACACCAAGCTATGGATTTCAGAGCACATCAGCAGAAGCCCTCAGCTTTCTGCAATCAGTGATCTGAGTGGTAGATTCACATGGTTTCCACACTCCAGGGTCGTACTAAGTCCTTGTTCATTTTTTATTTTAGAGCGATATGCAGAAAATTCAAGGCGTATGGCAACTTGTTGAATGTGACTAGGTGGGTAATAATTAAGTTATCATTTAAATTAAAATCTCAAGTCTTCACATAAGAGCTGAGGATAACAACATGCTAAGAAACAAATATCAGGTACAAAACCTGTATGATAAGAAGGAGTTTGATTGAATAAAATAATAATAATCATGCTAATTTTCTTAAATAATACTAAGCAAAAAAGTAAATGGTGTAGTCAGAGAAGAAAGCAGGTGCAAAATACTAATGGCTTTAAATTCAGAATCAGAAGTTTGGACTGGATTTTACCAAAAATTTAACATATGAAAAGATGCTTAATACTTTTAGTGAGGAAAATGAGATATTGGAGGCTCATATTTTTAAAATACCATTGAAAAATAGAAACAACATAAATATCCACAACTTTGTGACTTTTAGATATATGCATTAGAATATTACACAACTGTTAAACAGATAAGGAGACTATTTACAATGATACAGACTTATCATCAAAATGATAATTTTGGTAGTAAGCAAAAAGTGTAAGATGCAAAATAGTTTGAATAAAGTCATATCACTTTTAAAAACATGAAACATGTATATGCTAACCTCAGAAAGTGGTAGAGACAGGTAATATATTCTTATATTTGTAATATTCAGTATCTGGCCTGAAAGTGTTGAAAAGTGACTCGATTTTTGTGTACACTTTGTACTATTTGGATTTTGAAACCTTCTTCATTTGTTAATAGATCAATTAACATTAAATACAATAGAAGAATACATTACTATTCAAGCAAAACACTGAGTCAATATCTCCAACTCAGAGTGATCTCCTAAGCTCAGGCATGTGGATCTGGCTGACTATGGAACATCTCCACTTGGATAATTTCATCAAGTCAACGTGACCGAAGCTGAACTCAGCCTCTCCTTTTCAGCCACCAGGCTTTGGCTTACACAGTATCTATCCAAAGGCTTTCTCCCTGGCCTGGTGTGTGCTCCTGTCTCCTGGGAGGGCATGGCTCCAGTCTGCTGCCACGGGCCCACACATCCAACATGGTATCAAGCACAGCCCACCTGTTAACCACTGTATCCTCACTGGATAATGGAATCCATCTCCAGGATTATGTGTGATTTAATAAAGACAGTTCTTCACAACAATTACCTCCTAAGATGCCAAACACATCATTAACTGAACTAAAATACCACTTAGAGAAGCACTTTTGTAGGTTTGCTACCTGTTGTGGAAAGTAATATAATATTTCCTTTCATTCATTCTTAAATGGCTTCTTTTGATTTTACGATCTGCTTCCTAATTCTGCTCTTCTGAGATCTTATGAACAAGCCATAATTACTGTTTCCATAATGCCAATTATTTTATGGATTTCAAAGTCAAAGATTAATATGGAGAAGTGATATGATTTAAGACACAAGAGATAGATATATATTTAATGTGGCTAAGAAGGAATTCCCCTTACTAGTTTAAATCATAAAACAATCAGCTAACTAAATTTTTGGCTGAATAGATACATGCATCTAAGCTATATATTTATGTGTAGAAATAATCAAGCAATAAACAGACAGCTGAACCAACACTAAGAAAGGAAAATTCTCATGTTCCTAGTAAAAAGATCTAGTGGAAACAGAGTTGGGACACTGAGCAACTGCTGAATCTGAACCTAACATCAGTGAATTTCCTTCTAATCTTGGAGATGGAACTATAGACTCTTGAGTACATGGAGCTGGACTACTGAGGTACAAGAAACTGGCATTTACAATGTGTCAATGTCACACCTGAAACATGGCTAAGAAAACACACATGCACACACACTGATTTAGATAACTTAGATAGGAGGTAGGGATATTTAAAATCTTATAGGAATTGTGCTTAAAAATAATTATCTGTAAAAAAAATGGAGTTAAAGATTACGTATGTAACTTTGAGATTCAAATTTATGTTTTCCCCATGAGACGTAAGCCTGAAGCAGATAAAGTAACTTAAAAAATAGCTTAGGACTTAGAAATCCATAATCTCCTTTCAGTCTTCCACAGTTCACTACCCAAGACATGTAAGACTGACACAGAAAATAACTAAGGCCAGAACTGAGTGTACATTTACAAGCTTTGGTCGTCCATAATTAAAATAAAATAGAATTTTGCCCAAGTAGAATTTTTAGATAAGAAAAATATAATTGCATAATAAAATGAAACAAGGTTTCTGTGATCAATCTGAACAACAGACTAGAAGTAGTTGATGAAAGAAAAAGTGAAAAAACATCAAATTGCTAGACTGATCTGAGAAAATTACCCCTAATGTAAAACATTATCCTTATAAAATTTACCAAAAGTCAAATATATTTTCAATTCTAATTCTTAAACTTAATAGATTTGTGACTCTGAAGATATGATCTCTTGTGTCTCTACTTCTCTCATCTCTAAAATTAGAATTCACAATACATGATTTCAAACTCACTGAGTCAAATTAAATGAGATTACGGTTGTGAATGTCATACCAAAGTGCACATAGAAAGCATTCCATTACTATTATCATAATCAATATGTGTGTTAACACATACTTTTGTGATACCCTTAATTCAGTTCCTTACTCTACTATAGATTGCCACTAAAAGTAAGATTTTTTAGTTCTTTATTCTTGTAGTTAATGTCTAGAACTTCTGATTTTAGATTTTAAGGAATACACTAGACTTAGTTTTTAGAAAGATTATTTGTCTAATTTTAATATATGTTTTTGACCCCTTTTGTGCATACTTAGAAAACATTCTAAAATGACCTTCAGGATTTACATTCCCCAAATAGCTCATTTTTTTAATGTTTGAATAGTGCATTATAGTTATACCTAATAGTGGAGCTCATTTTGATATAATTCTAAGGTCCAGAATATAATTTGCTCGATTTCAGTCCCCAGTACTTCCCCTTTCTTTTCACCCCTTGTTTCTCTTCCTCTACTCTACTGGTCTTCCTATATTTATTTATTTTTTTAAATTGGTGATTTGTAGATATCCATAAAGGTGAAATTCACTGTGGCACGTTTATAGATGTACACAGTGCAATTTTGTCAACTGATTTTGAATGACACAAATTTATGAGGAGGAGGATAGGGTGCAATGTCATGTTGACTTTGTAGAGATATAGGAACATGTTTAGAAGGAGGCAGAAATAACAGAAGGAGTTCTCATTTTAAAAAATTGGAAAAAATTTAAATTTTTTTTTTAAATTAGTGCATTAGTGCACAAAATGTTTAATCAAGAAGTTTTCTAAATTCAATCTTCTGTGTACATTAGCATATTAAATTATCTGAAAAATCTTTGCAGTAAAGACATTTTTTAAAGAAATTTTACCTCACTATTGTGCAAACTTGTTGACCATTGGCCATTCTATAAAATGCTCACTTAACCTCTTTACAGGTTATCTTAGAAATCCCTAACTTGCAGTTTCTCTGTGCACATGGACCCCTCTCCATGGCTTGCTCCGTCTCAGTTCCACTTTTTTGTGTCCACCCTTTGACTTTGAGTGCAGTTAGTTATTCATCGTTGTGGCTTGAAGTGCAAAGTCCTGGGAAACGTGCCACTCCCTGAGATGTCCTGTTGGTTTTGGACATTGTTCTGAAGAGACCTAAGCCAAAAGGCTGCCCAGGGGTCGACTGAAAGCCACCTGTCATGTACAGCAAATGTCTTTCGTTGGTCATTAAATGCTAAAAAGCTTAGAAGTTTGTAGCAGTGTGTCAGTGGGCCAAGGGCAATCCACTCTTTTGTTTTATGTTTGGATTGTTAAGTGAGCGGATGGAAACTACCTTCATGCATGCACAAAGCAAAGGAACTTTTGTGTTAGACATCTAACGTTCAAACCTCCACTCTGGCCAAACACCAGTTTCCTGACACCTAGAAAGATAACTTCTAAGTGTCAGGTTCCTTTTCTGCAAGATGAGAATGATACGTATTTCTTACACATTTCTGTGAAGCTTCAAGATAATGTAGAGTGGATTTTTTTTTTTGGAAAATTTTTTATTTAAAATAAATAGAAAGATATTAAGACACGTATTTGTATATCTTAGTTTCTGTGGGTCAGGAGTCCAGGCACTAGCATGCTATATAAGTCCCCTACAAGTCTGCAGTCAAGGTACTGGGAAGACTGTGGTCTCATTTGAAGGCTCGACTGAGAAAAGCTTCACTTCTGAGCTGCTGTGGTTGCTGGTTTACTTCCTGGCT